ACTTGCCTTTCTAGTGTCCTCTGTTTGAGGAGAGAAACAGCACCAGAATCAGAGCAGCCTGCTTGCTTGCTTTTCCCATTTTCTTCTTTTTTTTTTTTAACTTACCTCATTTATATTTTATATCTGGTGCACAGGGAAAACATTTGACATTTGTCCAAATACCAAATGTACTTTGGATTTCATCACTTACTTATTAGCAAACTTCAGCTATGCAGGAGAACATTCCCTCTGAAGTCAGAAGCTCAGGGTTTGAGAAGTTGGGAGCTGAGGCCTCCTGATTGGAGCAGAGTGGCTGTTACTGGGCTTAGACCCTTGCTAATAGAGTAAAAGCTGAGGCAGGCCTTCTGTGTGGGCTCCTGCCCTGCTGGGAAGCAGGCATTAAGGGATTAAGTGGATTTGGTAAGTTATGTCTGCTTTCAGAACACTGGGTTTACAGCCTTGGGGCTAAAGAGCCTTTGGTGTGGATGACTCAGAGCTGGCGAGAAGGTCAAGGTCAGGCTGCTGGAAGACTAAACAGGCTCAGATATGGTCTGTCCCTGGCCTTTATCTGGCCTCATTTCTGCAAGGCTACTACTTCATGTTAACAGCTTTCTCTGGGATCTGAAGTGGTGAGGGTCACTAACTTTTCCTGCAGTTGAAAACTCTGGAGATGTGAGGGCTGGAAAGGAAAGGTAAAAGTGATGATAGCTATCATTTTATTGAGTGCTTCTTATGTTCTCATGTAGTTTATGTACTAAATATGGAAGCAAAGTGTTTATTGTAAGAATATATCTTTGGTCATCTCTAAGCATGAATTCATGACCCCTGGACATCAACATTTTACAAATGAGGATTCTAAGGCCCAGAGAGATAAAATAATTTGCCCAGGGTCATAGAGCTGGTCAAGAAGGAGCTGTGAATGGATCCCAGGCATCCTTCTGGCCTAGTCCTCTCTTTTCTTTTCTCCTGCTGAGGGGAGTAATGGCAATAGGGAAAGAATAACAAAGTTAATATTTTGGAATTCATGCTCACACTAGTACAGGCAGTATAGTGTCCTGGCTGGAAGCAGTAAGCAACTCCACCCCTTACTAGCTGTGTGACTTGTACAAGTTATTTAACCTCTCTGAACCTCTGTTTCTTCTTCTCTAAAATAAAGATAGTAATAATACCCACTTCAAAGGACTATATGAGGATTAAATGAGTTAATAACTCAAAGAACCTGGCTCATAATAGCTGCTATATAAATGTTAGCTCTTACTGTGAAGTAGTTGTAAGTATTATCTCTATTTTGAAAATGAGGACACGGCGTCAGAGAGGTTACATAGCTTGCCCAAAAGCACACAGAAAGGAGCCAAGCTGGGATTTGGATTCATGTCTCTGCTCTAAATCATCTACCATATTACCTATTAGCAACTCGGGTTTTCTCAGACCAGTATTCCTTGGTTACCTCTTTGAATGGCCCCTCATATGTAAACAAAATTTCTGTGTTCATGTTGATAAAATACTTTTATTTCCACAGGTGTTAAATCTTGCACTTCTTCCTTTTAAGATCTTGCCTTGAATATTTTTTCCTGGTTTTCTAGCTGAAAAGAAATGGAAGGAATAAATAACATAAAATCTGAACATAGGTTGCTGGCTGAATTACATTGTGGGGTAATAACACTGAGTACAAAAAAATAGTAATGCTTATCTTCGAAAGGGGCAAAACTCTTTGCCTTACTGGTTTCAAACTTCACTATGTAAAAATAATTGAAGTTCACATGAAAAGGAATGGTATTTGACCACAGACTTAATATACAGGATGATCTTGCTAAAAGAGCAGAAGACAGTTCTCTGATCTGGTCATTTGGACATAGTCACCAGAGTCTGGTATATGAAAGGCACTAGACTGGGTGCTCAAAGCGTAATTGTAAGACATTCTCTGCCTTCTAAGACCTCCCATTCAAATCTATTGTCCTCAGTTATTCAGTGTCCTCATTTTGGGTCCATTCTGCCTCTTATGAATCCCCATATGTTATATAAGCCCTTAACACACAAAAGAATATTGATCAGGACTGTGGAAGAGCCTGTCTGGAAACTGGATTATTCAAAGAACAGTTGGATGAACTGCTAATCTTTAGGCTGGAGGCAAGAACATAGTTGTTCTCCTTACTGGAATGCTGTTCAAGCAAAAATGAGATTAATCTTATTTTGGATTTTTATAGAAGACAAAAGGGTATGAGAATTTCAGTGAAAGAGATTCTAAGTTGAGTTTGAATCAACCCAATTCAATTAGTCCACTAATGGTACCTAATAAGTGACAAGGATTTACCCAGAAATGAGTGAAGTAGATAAAGTCCCTGTATCCACAGAGCCACTACATTGTTATTATTTTCAGGTCTGCAGCCTAGTTTTGGCATAAAAATATTGTACAGAATATAGTTATATGTGATTATCTGCACTTTCACAGTTGGCTATATTCAAATGAGCTAGTTTGGTTGTCAGTTTTCATGGCATGGTTGGGGGAGAGTACAAAGAGAGGCTAAAAATCTGCAATGCAGGGTTCTAATTCTGATTCTATCACACACAGCCCTTGTGATCTCGGTCTCAGTGTTCCCATCAACATGGCAGCATTGAACTCAATGTCCTTCAATCCTCTCTCCACTCTGTGATTCAACTTAGATTTTATCCTCACAGCTTTGGACAATCAAAAAATATAATCGTATCTGTTCTTGAAGGATAGGGCAGGTGATTCTTAGGCGATGTCTACTGATTTAATACATACTCAATTTAAGAATTTCAAACTGGATGGAAAAAAAGGTCATGTGGAAAAAATAATTCTGGGTATCCATGTGCTGGAAAATGTATTAATTCTAGTGCTTAACTAGATTTCAAAGGTTATAAGGAAAACTTCCCATTGAGTCTGAGCTGCAGGCAAAGAAGATATGCTAAGGGCTTTCTGAGAATAAATCAATTTTAATGTATACTTGGTGTTGGTGGTGGTGGGAAAGCAATAGGTATAAATTAAGGAAGTGATGACTTCAGGTAATGACAGAAAGTTTCATTGAAGCAGTTTTTGGTAGTTATATGTTAGCGGGAAAAATTAGACTACTAAAATCCAGCAAAATTGTTATGGATGTTTCCAAGTGAATGATGGGCACAGGTGATATTTACAGAAGCATTTAAAAATAGATCTCTAGTAAGTTTTCTGCTAGTATTATAAAAATACACATGCATGTGTTATGTGCAAGTAGTTCAAGAATTTGGAAAAATCTAAAGTTGGTCTTTGGTAGATGCTTTAAAGTAGAGCTAAAAAAGAGTTAACGTCTTTAAAAGCAATTTAAATAATGAAGCATTTTCATTTTCAGTATCTTTTTGAAAGAAATCATAGATTTGGGAGAATACACATAGTCAAGTGATGAAGTAGATGTAAAAAGAGCCCCCAAAATAGAGCTATTCTCTCTAGGCTTCTGGCTATTTTTAAGAGAACTGTTTCTCTGGAAAGTTAATTGTCAAGTAAGTTAAATGCAGCCTGTTAGGTTGCCTTAGTGCTGTCACATGGGCCTCAAGTTTCCCATCCCACCAATGGAGAGAGATTCCAGTCCAGATGGCACAGCGACAGGTGCTATATCTTACCACCTGAGAGGGAGTTGCGCAGGAGGCTAGGAGTTCTTAATCAAATGTATTTAAGTAGTGGAATACGCCGGGGCTAAGAATTCAGGAAAAGGTATTCATGGGTTTTGCAAATGAATTTCCACAGACACCAATTAACACTTCTTATTTCAGCTCTTCATTCAAATCTGAAACAGGAATTAAGATGTGTGGTATTTGGGGCTGCAAATCCTAAATGGTTGCACTGCTTCCTGGCTTACCATCCTTCTACCCCTCCTTTCACCCTTGCAGGTCAACAACGACCTATCTGCAGAAAAACACAGACAAGGTGAAACCGAGGCCACCACCTCTCTGGGTCAGTAATAATGTGAGCGGTGTTGGCTGTCACCCTTCCTTCCTATCCCTTCAATAATTCAACAATGAGACATAGAGCTCCACAACACTAAGAAATACTAGTGCTGCTCTCCCGGGCCATACAATCTCATGGGAGGTTGTGTTCCATTTGGTTCTCTCATGTAATTATCTTGAGACTTCCTGCTCCCGAGTCTAGGTTTTGTCATCTGTATAATCAAAGGGTTGCTTTAGAGGACCTCTAAAAATGGGAAACAATTTATAGACCATGAATTCAGGTGAGTGAAACTTTCAGAGCCTGGTCCCGGGGCTACAGGGCTGAGTGGTGATGGGGTCCTGCCCCAGCACTCAAAATTCCTGGAGCTCTCCCTCTGCCAGTAGAGCAGGGGTGAGTGAGGTCTGGCGAGCCCTGGCCCAGTGATTTGCAGCCTGGGCACATTGCAAACAAACAGACTTTTTGGATGACTTGGTCCTTCAGGACAGGGATTGGTGGCCTGAAATGTCCACTGTTCTTTATTCTTTCATTTCACTGAAGGAACAGTAGCTGGGCCCCAGGCCTTGCATGGTACAATCAATGATGTTGCTGTCACACTTGCCANAGGTTGTGTTCCATTTGGTTCTCTCATGTAATTATCTTGAGACTTCCTGCTCCCGAGTCTACGTTTTGTCATCTGTATAATCAAAGGGTTGCTTTAGAGGACCGAGGTTGTGTTCCATTTGGTTCTCTCATGTAATTATCTTGAGACTTCCTGCTCCCGAGTCTAGGTTTTGTCATCTGTATAATCAAAGGGTTGCTTTAGAGGACTTCTAAAAATGGGAAACAATTTATAGACCATGAATTCAGGTGAGTGAAACTTTCAGAGCCTGGTCCCGGGGCTACAGGGCTGAGTGGTGATGGGGTCCTGCCCCAGCACTCAAAATTCCTGGAGCTCTCCCTCTGCCAGTAGAGCAGGGGTGAGTGAGGTCTGGCGAGCCCTGGCCCAGTGATTTGCAGCCTGGGCACATTGCAAACAAAAAGACTTTTTGGATGACTTGGTCCTTCAGGACAGGGATTGGTGGCCTGAAATGTCCACTGTTCTTTATTCTTTCATTTCACTGAAGGAACAGTAGCTGGGCCCCAGGCCTTGCATGGTACAATCAATGATGTTGCTGTCACACTTGCCACAGTGACATTCAGTGGCCACTGGGTACACATACAGGGAGTCTACATGGTGAGCATAGCCAGAAACTCTCATGGTCTTGTACACCAGCTCCTTGAAGATATTCTGGACGTTAGGCCTGGCTGGGTCCTTAACCACCAGATCCTTAAGAGTTTTGGAAGGAGAGAGTTAGGTTACAATATTCTGGAAGCTTCTGTTTGGTTTAGTAAAAGTGAGACAGGGATTTAGTAATGCTTGCTATGATATTTGCTTTCTGAAGACCAGCTTCTAGGATCCATAAGAACAGGAAACCTGAGCTCATAAAGGAACTCTACATTATACCACTTTTCTGAATTGTACTGGAATATTATAGAAAATAAAACTGCCTCCTTACACCCCACCATGATAGTACCCACATATTTTATATGTCTAACATCTTATAAAAATCTTTGAATTGGTATGGCATAAAAGGATGTAAAGACAAAGGGATAAAAAAGATATGACCTTTAGGATTTTAAGATTTTCTTTTTTTGCACTTATTATCCTGAAGCTATATTAATGACAGGTAAAAACATGTAACATTTGGATTTAATTGCTCAGGAAGAGATTTTAAACACTCTGTTTCATGCATATTTATAAAAGAAATATGGGTCATAAATTTAATTATTGATACCTTGCTTAAAATATTTGGGAAGTTTCATATCAGATTCTGGACATTTATTGCCTTTTAGGTTATTCCATGCCTCTGCCTTCAATTCTGTGCATTTACAGTGTTCTTAATCCAAAAATATATGACACAGTCTCAATATCAGAATATTTATTTGAGGTCAATTTTTTTCACTCTTCAACTTGTTCAATGAGAAAAATAATTGGCTTTAAGGGAGAAAAGAGGCTGTTGGTTAATTCATTTCCCAAACTGGCTATCAGGTTTATTTCCCACAAAAAGTACAGTAAACTGTGTGGTAAGCCAAGTTTTATTGACCAAACTCAATATTAAATAAAGTATATTCATTAAAATGCAGCCAGTTTCAATTTTATTTCATAGAACTCCTGCACAGTCAGCCAGATGCTACAGAAAAACTGCAAAGAAGAACATTTGCCTAAATCTATCACGAAAAAGTTGTGAGGATGCAGACAACCAATTTAATAGCTCTACAACTTTGTTTTGTCAACAGCATAAAGAAGGGAGTGGGTTTGCTGATTCGTTTTGGTCCTGACAGTCTATAGGGATTGATTTTTCTCAGGCTGCTTATTGGCATTCAGGCAGGCCAATAGAATGAATTTTATAATTGGCTGCTTCTGTTTTTATTTGGCTTTGAAATGCATTTTGGTACCATCCCTACTGCAGAGGTATGCTTTGTATTATTGCAATTGTTTTTGAGATTACTGACAATATTTTATGACTAAATATAGATATGTATCCATGCCCGTGTTTATCTGTCAGTAGGTAAAGCTTGCTTAGAAATACTCTAGTGAGGGCCAGCCTGGTGGCGCACTGCTACAGTGCGCCGCTTGTGAGTGCGGCAGCGCTCCCGCCGAGGGTTCAGATCCCACATACATACCTGATGCTCACTGGTTGAGCAACCGGTGGCGCACTGCTACAGTGCGCCGCTTGTGAGTGCGGCGGCGCTCCCGCCGAGGGTTCAGATCCCACATACATACCTGATGCTCACTGGTTGAGCGAGGTGCGGGCGCGGCACCGAGGGTTGCGATCCGTTGCCGGTCACGAAAAATGACAAAAAGAAAAAAAAAAAGAAATACTCTAGTGAAATGCAGAATTGGCACAACACGGAATCATTCATTTACATCAATCCGGGCTGCTTCAAATTTGTTCTATCCAAATCAAATCCAAACTCAAATATCTAAATGATATCATGGTAATTAACCTCCATCATAGTGTAGAACGACTGTATTAGCTAAGGTACTCATGGCTATTATTCGGGAGAGACAAAATATTCATAAAGTAGGACTTAATGAAGGTTGCTTTGTACAGACCCTCAGCACCTTCCCTTCCAGCAGAGCAAAGTTCCCACCTGGGTGTAGGAGTAGCCCACACACCAAGTGGTGTTGATGTTTATACAGAAGTGACCTTCCTCTTTCTCCACTATGATGATGATGTTGGTCAGCTCACAGTTATTGCTGAGGATTGCTTTTCAGCAATAGGAAAGAAAACACAACTGGACTGACTTCATCCTGGGCTGGGAAACAAATGGTTACAAACCCAAAGCATTGTAACTATTATAGCTGTTGACCCAGTCCAATTCAACTGAAATAAACCTGCTCCCTAAATTCCACAATCACATTTAGCTTCAGCAAGCATTTTTTGGTAAGAAAGAAATATATTACAGGTCAGAACTTCCCATAAAATTCTTTACATGGAGATTTTTTTTTTTTAAATGATTAAAATGTCACAGGGAATTACCTTAAAATGAAAGTGATTAGTCTGGAGCAAGGCAATGCCATCGTAAGTGGCCCCTTCATTCTCAGTTTTAATGACCATTTTGACTTTAATAAAGAAAATTTTATATGAGGATTTGTTTTTTGTTTTTTAGATTGACCTAATAGGGGCATATAATTTTATTCACATCTGATTACTAGGAGAATATTTTAAAGGTCATGTTAATTGGTCTATAAAATGAGCTACTTGCTATTCCTGCTTGTGATTCAAGTATATACAGAAATTTTATTTAAGAAACCAAATTGGCATGCCTGGCTGCCCTGAAAGATGGTATTAAAAAGCTCTTCACTGAGTGTTTCAATTAGGGTTTTTTTTTTTTTTTTTTTTTTTGATTCTGCAAATCAATGACTTCAAAAATAACTATCCTCACTTGATAACTGCAGAAGCAGAGAACTGTAGTCTGCTTGCTTGGCTAGGAGTGCTATATATCCAGAGGTAAGTCTCAAGTTCACCGGTTATATAAAATCGTGTGTACCTAAAATCTGGTGGATTTGTATTAGAATGTTCTAGATCTTAACTAGTGCTTAAAATGAACAAGTGTTTGAATTTGTAAAGTGATCAAACCTTGTTAGAACTGTCTAAACACAATATATTAGGGAAAAGAATGCTAAAACGTAATCTTTCAGAATTAAATTCAATGTAATAGCAAATCCACTCCCTTACCTCATCAGTTTAAACATGGCTATAGCTTTTTCTTTGGTGTCTTTAATTTGGTGAACTCAGAATTCCTTCCAAGTATCGCTTTGGCCATGCTAAGTGTGGTGGGTCAAGAAGATGATTAATAAATTCCTCAAAAAGCAGGCTGCAATTTCATGATCTGGCTCTATCTGCATACTGGCCTTACCCCACTCCTTCCTTAGGTTCCTGCACCCATTACTCTGCTTAATACCAGCCCTACTTGCTGGTTCAACATCAGATCACTCCTGTATCTTTAATCTCTTAAATATGCTGTTGATCCATTCTTCCTCATCTCTACCATAGAGCCAAAACCTTCAAAGAGAAGAAATGGCATACACAGACTCTTTATCCTTCATGACCCCTTATCAGGTGTGATTCTATTTGTAACTCTGACCAAAGCACGGGAGCCTTAAAGGAAGCCTTCACATTCCCTCCTCCTCAGACTGCTCTGGCACCTTGCTATACTCCTAAGGTTCTGTAGTATTTTGTTTCTTTGTCTCTATGGTAGATTACAACATGTTTACAGCATACTTGTTCATGCATATGTGCTTGGCACCTAGCAAAGGCTGCACCTAGTAGGCACATCATAAATGTTGAATAATAAAGAAACAGAACAGGCCCCGGGTCCTAGACAGGAGCCAAAGGCAGCCCTCTCCACCAGGGAGCAGGGAAGGAGTACGTGAAAACACCATTTCCTCCCGGGTGGACTACACACCCACCATCACAGCCACAGCTGCTGCAAAAGTGGCTCGAGGCCACTGCAGTAGCCACAGCTACCGTGCAGACAGCCCGCCAGACATCCGACAGCAGTGACACAAGGAGAGTCAGTGGAGACCGGAAAAAGAGGAGGACATCTCTCTCATTTAAGCCCACTCCAGCGTAATAGAAGAAGCACGTGCTCTACCGTACCCCTGCTGTATTTCTGATTTTAGTAATTTCTGTCTTCCGTCTTGTTTTCTTGGTCAGGCTAGATAAAAGTTTGCAAATTTTGTTGATTTTTTTAAAGAATCAAAAATAAATAAATAAATAAATACTATTAAGCAGTCTACAAAGCACCTCTGATGTAAATATTTTAGCCAAATATTAACTTTACATAATTCTTTTAGGGTATAATAACCTTTATATATATTGTGAAACTTGTTAAATATTTAACTATCATTCATTTTCTTTGACAGACTTTGTTATGGGAGATTGAAAAATGAAGGTTAAAACTCATTTCTTATTATGGTCTAAGTCTTTTTCCTTACTTTTTTTTTTTTGCATCTCTTCTGTTATGACAGTTCTGAATTTTCTAAATTAGGTAGTTAAGAACATTTTTGTTTTCAAGAGTTCATCATAATACACTTCTATATTATTAAATTAAAAAATGCAGGATACAAAATTAAACATACTGGGCTATTACAGCTCTGTCAAAATATACATATGAAAGAAGAAACTGACTCTCAAAACAATCATTGTTGGGGCCGGCCCTGTGGTGCACTCGGGAGAGTGCAGCGCTGGGAGCGCATTTGCGCTCCCGCCGCGGGTTCTGATCCTATATGGGGATGGCTGGGGCGCTCGCTGGCTGNTGGTGTGGTTCTCTTTGGGTTTATTTTGCTTGGATTTTGATGATATTGGATATATGGGTTTGTATTTTTTATCAAATAGGGAAAATTTCAGATAGAATTGCCTAAAACATTCTTCTTCTGTTTAGTTTTTTTCCTCCCTTCCTTCTTCCCCTTTCAGAGACTCAACTTATATCTTAGGCAGCTTACTATGATGCCATAGGTCACTGAGACTGTTTTTTTTTCTTTTTTTTAAAAAATATTCTTTTTCCTCTTTGTTCTATAGTTTGATTTTTTGCTATTGCTGTGTCTTCAAGCTTACTGATCCTTTTCTCTGTAGCATCCAATCTGATTATAAGCCCATCTAATATATTTTTTTTTATTTCAGATAGTGTATTTTGCATATCTAAAAGTTCCATTTTTTTAATATAGTCCATTTCTTTCCTTATTATGTTTATTTTTTCCTTGACCATATTTGTAATAACTCTTTTAAATTCCTCAACAGCTGCTTCTACCATCTTTTTATTTCTGTTCATTTCCCCTGTTTATGGATCAGATTTTCTACTTGGTATGTTTAATAATTTTTGTTTGTATGGTACACATTGTAGGTTTTACAGTGCTGAATGTCTGGATGTTGTCTTCCTCTAATGAATGCTGGACTCCTTTTAGAAGGCTATTAAGTTATTTGTGGTAAGCTTTATTCTTTTGAAATTTGTTCTTAAACTTTAAAGCTGGTCTGCAGTAGACTTTAGTGTAATCTGTCGCTACTCTAAAGGTGTGACCCTTCCCTTCTGGAATCTCTCTCTCTCTCTCTCTCTTTTAAAAGTCAAGTCAGCACATCTGTTCATTCTGGCTAGTTAGAAGTGAACTGTCTCCCAGCCTGTGTGAGCAGTGGGGATTTTTTAGTTTACAGCTCCCGAATAGCTCTTTGCCTGGTCTTATATAATCTCACCCTATGCTTGCATATTTCTCTTTCAGCTAAAAAAGCAAGGGGCCCTCTATGCAGGTTTCTGGACTTTGCTAGCTTGTTTCTGGACTCTGCATAGCTACCTTCTCTCTGACACTCTGGTCCACAACTTTCAGCTGCCTCAGCTTTCCTGGACTCTAATTTCTGTCTTCCTAACTCAGCAAGGCTGCCTGGCTCTGCTTTGTTTCCCCTTCCCTGCAACAGTCTGGAAAATGCTTCCACTTAGAAAACAGGGGTGATTATGACTCTCACCTTGCTTTTTTCTGTTCTTTCATAGATCATACTTATGCACTGCCTATGGTTCAATGTCTAAAACAGTTTTTTAATTATTTTTGCCTTGTTTTCTAGTTGTTTATGGTGAGAGAACAGTACTGATTCTTATAACTCCATTGGGGAATTTGCAGTTCTGAAATCTAACCAACAGAGTTCTGAAAAGCAGTATGGATAATTTCCAAATATTGCTTATCATTGCCTTGAATACAGAATAAGGAAAACAATGTAGTAATCCTTGGTCTTTGTCTCTTGGTGCTCTGGAATATCTGTCTCATTGTTTATTTTAAAAAGAATCACAGTAAGGCTTAGAAGAGAGAAGGAGATCAATCTTGATTCTGGTAGCGTCCTAAGACAATCCTCTTAATAAACTTGTCATAATTCTAGGTATAATAATTTTCTTGACATCATGCTTCTCTGTTGGAACTCCATGAAAGATTAGTAGGAACAAAGAAAGTCTTTTAAAGTAAGTCTTTTTAAGGTAAGTAAATGAATAAAACATGGCCTGCTAACCCAAAGAGAGAGGCAATATGGATTTTTCAGGATCACTAGACAGGTGGGAAAGAGGTCAAGCTGGGGGAAGGTGAGGTTTCAGGGAAGGAAGCCACAGCATCTAGTCACATTGTCAGAGGTATCTCCACAGTCTAAGTGAAAACTCCAAAAAAGGCTGGTACCAGGGTGTTCAGCCCAGTAGGTGGGATCAACAGCATTAAGATTGTGTGATGCAATGGAAAGGCATAGATTTTTTGAACCTAACTCTATCAGTTTGCTAGGGCTGCTGTAACAAAGCACCACAAATCAGGTGGCTTAAAGAGCAGAAATTTGCTGTTTCACAGTTCTGGAGGCTCGAAGTCCAAAACTGGTTTCTTCTGAAGGTTGTGAGGAAGAATCTATTCCATGCTTCTCCCCTAGCTTCTGGGGGTTTCCAGACCATCTTTGGCATTTCTTGGTTTGTAGAAGCATCACCTCGATCTCCGCCTTCATCTTCCCATGGCATTCTCCCTGTGTGCATGTCTGTGTCCGAATCTCCCCTTTTTATAAGGACAGCAGTCATAATAGATCAGGGATTCACCCTTCTCCATTGTGACCTCATCTTAATTTCATTAATTACATCTGTAACAGCCATATTACTGAATAAGGTTACATTCTGAGGTACTGTAAGTTAGGAGTTCCACTTTTGGGGGGCATAATTCAACTCATTACATCAATAGACCTGAATTTGAATCCTGTTTCTTACTCTTACTGGTTTGGCATATTTTTGCATTTGAAAATAGG